ATAGATGTCGTATATGTTCGAGTTTTTTGTGTTCTCGTTTCTGATCTAGGGTTACATTTTCACAATAGACATTTATACACCATTGGATAGAGAATTTAAAGGGCTACATTTTGGACTATTTATTTTTAAAACACTCGAAATCGACTTTTTGGCCTAATGTCCGCTTAGTTGCCCACTGTGTGTGGTGGACTAAGGTCCAAAATAAATCTAGCTTTTCCTGAGTATTTTCCAAACACTAAATCTAACGGACTGATTCTAAAATGCTCAAAAGGAGGATAATCAAATGGGCCAATTAGATAATTATTTTTTAATTCTTCAGTAAGTAGTTTAGTAACTGTGTCTTGATCATCACGAGCAGATCTCAAGTTATTTAAGATATGATTATCAGTTGGTAAAACTTTAACTCCACCATGAAAGCCATTTTCAAGTCCACTCAGTAAATGATCTACGAAAGCACTGTCTGGATGGTGTTCTAATTCTTTCCTTAAAACTTTTGTGTTGATAGGCGTAGTGGGATGCAAGTCGGCCTAGTCTAAATAAAATGTATTTCACTAACGCACACCGTTTGATAGGCCTAGTGGAAAAGTGCACGTGGTGGTCTGGCTAAACTTATCGCTACCAAATATAGATTTGCCTTCAGGTAAAGAGATAAAGAACTAAAATCATATTGCGCTTTGTTAATATTTTTATTACAAGTTCAATTGTCTCTCTCTGTCTCTCATTGTCTGTTGAGAGGTAGTACGTTATAAACAAAGAGAAGAAGAAGTAATACATCGATCACATTGTTGTCAGACGTTGATTAGTGATAGTCGGTGCAAAAGAAGTATATGATGGCGGACAGACTGCTTTGAAATGTTTACCTTACAATCAAGACATCTGTGAGTATACTGTACCTCGATTACATCCTCTTTCTTCATTAAAATTAAAACAAATATGTCGTCCATCTGATAGGGTAACAGGATGACGTCGTGAACGATTGTTTGGACGAACGGGAAAAGTAGATGTTGGTGCTGACGACACTTGTAATAGTGGATGTTGTAATAATGTAAATGGATTCAAACGCGACACAGCCGGGCAAAAGTCAGTCGAATGATCAACAGCCTGACAGTGGTCATAATTGCGAGCACGTCGTCCCGCAAAAACAGAAAAATACAGTTTATCATCTCGTACCGACCAGTCAATTTTGACACCACTTGTAGATAGAATTGTAGCAGCTTTACTAGAAAACTGTTTATGGTATTCAAAAAACAATGGTGGTGGAAACGTTGTGACCATTTTAACAATAAAACTGGTAATGAGTAAGCTCCTCTCGACGCTCAGGATGAACGTCGCACATAACATTTAAAAAAATTTAACAAAAGCCAAAAGAAATTCAGATAAACTTAACGATTTAAACAGACGTGG